ACAAATTTTCAGCATCTTACCCCAATAAATAATGCACATATGCTGGTCAAAGTTTTCAACAATTTACGACGAACCTCAACAGCGAAAGTTGCCATTCTTTGATCGGTTTTCTCACGCCGGAGTATCTTGGATTTCTTAAATTACAAGTTATTCCCCGATTTACGGGTACGGGTACGTGTATATCACCCGTACCCGTAAACCGGAATCGGGGTATCTTAACCTCTCTAATATCTTAGGATAACTTTGTTTGCGATTTTTGATATTTGAAGAACGGAATAAGACGAATAACGGTAGCATATATATTAGGTGGAAAAGCCGATGATCTTAGGGAAAAAATGGTGAGAACAGATGCGTAGCCATGGGGGAGGGGGGGGGGGGGGGGGGTTCCGGAGGCCCGCTTTTCTTCAGGACCAATTTTGTAATTTTTTCATAACTGAGGAGAAACTGGGTGGCGTAATCTCTCAATGTTTTCACCTATGACAAAATATACCAGATCAAATTAATCTGTTGTATTTACGCCACATAAAATAAATTCCTTGATTCTCATCACCGCCCGACTGTATTTTAAGAGCCGCGTGAAATTTTTTTATATTTTGTTATACAATATAAATGTACCGCCCGACAAAATATTTCAAGACAGTTAAATTTTTTATATTTTATATTGGGTTTTTAGTGCCATTTTTAAACTGCCAATTTCAAACAAATAGAACCTTGAAAGAATTTCATTGCATTTTAACGGAACTTCGCATTCAGTTCAAGGGCCAGTCATTGTTCGTGGAGAAATATGTTTATTTCAGTTTGTGACACTTTTATTTATTGATATATATATAAATTATATAAATATAAAATATAAAATATAAACCTCCCGCCTCTTCGACATTTTCAAAGTGTAGTGATGAGAATCAAGGAATTTATTTTATGTGGCCTTAATTGTCTAAAATGAATGAAATATCATTTTGCCGATCCTGAAAATAGAAAAATGTTTGGCCGGACGATTAGACACCCCCGTCCTCCTCGTCTGGGCAGGATCGTAGCAACCGGGGGGCCTGGGGGGGGCTGCAGCCCCCCAATAATTTGCTAATAATCATTCATTTTTCAAAATCATGCAGACCTTTATCATTTAATCCATGGCAAACTGCAAAGAATGAAGATATTACCTATATTTTCCTGCAACTTATCCAATATATAGTTAATTAAATACGCCTTCGCTCATTTAGTACTACTGAATTGTAAATTTCGACATACTAAAACTCTGTTTTCTGACCATCAGAATTCTGTTAAATCTTCTCCAAAGTCCAGGAAATGGCTTTTCAGAGATTCTAAATTTAAAAATTGCCTCGGGCCTTCGGCCCTCGCTTTCAGCCCTCGCCCCCCCCCCCCGATCGAAAAGAGCTTGCTGCTGGGGCTAGCTACGCCCCTGCATGAGAAGTTGAAGTGCGGATAATAGACATAATATAGGTACTTCCGACAAACTAAAATAACTCAATTTCTGTTTGATATAAACGTCATAAACGTCAGTTCCAAGTTCGTTTTAATCCTTTTTTGTCGCCGATTCATTTTCCCTCTGCTATGATAAAAACTTTCGCCTCTCTTTGTCGTTCAAGAAAACCCTTTTGATGTAGTTGGTACATTCAAAATTTGTTATACGTATATTCATGCCACGAAAACTTAAACACAACGAATGTAGGAGTAATTACACCAGAGAAAGGACTTAAAACTGCGCAGCGTGACTTCATTTTTGTCTGAAATTCCGAGTTTGTTGAGCACACATTTTTGGAAAAAATCCAACGTTCAGAATGCAGGAAATGACATTTCCGAGGTTTAATTTCAAAATTTTACCAGGGTAACGTTCCCGGGACTGTTCCTAGTTGTGCGAGGTCGAAGAGCCACGGTCGGATTCGAGGCTGGATCACTGGGCTGGATCCGCCCCTGGTGGTGAAAGCATTTCGACCAAGTACTGAACAAACGACAAACCAACAGATCGAACCTGAGATATACTCCACGAGTCACGAGGCAGTTATTGATCACCATTCACCAGCAAATAAAAAATTTATTGTAGGAACTTAAATAAATAAAAAATGGAAAGCCTTTGGTGAAGATAAGATTATAGAGCGTGTTTATAGCCACAGAACATGTGAGAAATTATCTCTTTCAGTTCGGTCTTTTCACGTCTTCCGATCCCATTTTTCTTCAGTTCCAATAACGTTTGTGAACGGTTCTCCTTCTTCTCTTTTTAATATATTAATTTATTAATTATTAATTATTAAAATGTCCATATCATATCAGCCATACTCCCCTCACCTTCTCTGCAATGTCTATCACCACACATCTTCTAATATAATTTCTCAACTTCAATTACTCTGATTTCTTCTATATTCGCAACTCTATCTTGAATCCTCTCATCAGATCCCTAATTTCAGTTCTGTATCGTGTATGCCACGTCTTCATGTATCACTAAGTACTGTAAAGTTATAAATATCTCAAAATGAGCCATATCAGCTATTAAACTGCCCGCGCTCAATATGTTTCACTTGGATTTCTCATGAAGTTGCACGAATTATTTTTCCGTTTCCCCAAATGCTTGCAGGAATTTTTTTTCTAGTTCAATTCCTTGCCTAAATTGTTTTGATATGCAAACTCCCCCCCCCCCCAACCCACCGCTCCCAGGATTGTCCACCCCTAAGCAGATCTATTTAATATATTGAGCTAGACGATATGCCTGAGCAAACAAAAATGCAATATCTACGGCAAGTCAAAGGTTGTTGCCTATAATTTTGACAACTATATTAATATGTTATCCTCCGATTGACCCCAGCACTTCTTACGGTAAATATTTAATTAAGGGAAATGACCATACATCTTGTCAAAAGCATTACTTCAGCTTTTATGCTTAGTTTTCATCGATAATTTCTTGAAAACACGTTGATTTTGATTGGCCACCTTATTTTATAACCCAGAGCTTGGTGGGATTAACGGATCACTTCATTTAGCCAATCAGATTACGAGTTTTTATAGGATCGTGATCTGATTGATTAAAATGAAGGCGGACCAGAAAGTAGACGAGTACCTACAAAATGGCGAAATAGTTGGTATCCTAGCTGGCGTGAAACCACAGCGGCCCAATCTCAGAATGAATGATCAGGTGTTGCGGGTTTTTAACGGTTTTTATAAACAAATTTATAGTCAACCAAAACTATTCTAAAAACATTCTCAAATTAATTAGTCAAATAAATACATTTTAACAATAAAATATAGTTGACATGATAGTATAATACCTTTGCATTCTTTTAATTACTCCATGAGCTCATTTAGAGCGGTTGATGTAACATTTTCTGTGGCCTACATTGTGTGTCGCTCATTATATATCAATAGATGGGACTTGGGGACTGTTAGTAGGTGGGACTTGGGGACTGTTATTAAGTGGGAGTTGGGAACCGTTGGCCGGTGGGACTTGCATGGACACCATTAGTAGGTGGGACTTTAATTATTACTGGTTGCTGTTGTTGGCTCTTCAGGTGGAGGTTTACAATAATTGTGAAATTCTATTTAAGGGAGTGGTCATTATTTATGGGGGGGGGTTGGGAAATGGGGAAAATAAGGATTGAAAACTTTTTTGACCCCCCTTCCAGACTGAAGGCAAACATTTTGTGCCTCCCTCCTCATAAAAGTAGAAACTTTTCTGACCCCAACACCCCAGTGTGGATTGAAAAATTAACAGCAATGAAACAGGTGTGCGTTGCAGGTAAAGTTAGATATTAGGACAATCTGTTTAATCTAGCTCATAATGTTTACCCTGGTGAATATGATTCAACCATATATAATTAAAAAATATATATTATGTGTTACTACTTTGAAATGCAACATTTGTCCTACCATAACCCTAACCCATGACCTGTCTTCATACAGCGAAAAAGATTTGAACACAGGGTTTTTTTAAGAACTTTTCTCGGGGGTGGGCATCTTCGCTCGATACGTCAAGTTTCTGCTTATTTTTTAAGGTAGTAATATAACCACTCAGCACAGCATTTCTACATTGGTACTACCTACACTGGTACAGACAGTTTTAGTATCTACAAAAAAGGGACCATACTATATTGAGTGTGGAGAGATGACAGATGGTTGTTGGTGACAAAAAGTTTGGTGTGGTATCGTATGTACTAGTAGGGGAGTCTGGGGGTATTTTCCCCCAGAAAATGTTTTGTATTTTTCCACCCCTAGAACTGAAATGTGAGCATTTTCTGAAACAGATTTTTGGATATACAGCATTACATTGTGCGTTGATAGACCGAATCTGATCAGTTAAGTGTACTTGCATGGTATGTTTGTGTAAATAATACAACTGGGTCACTCAGGGGGTAGAAAGCTTAAACTTAGTGGGCCCGACTCGCACGATCGCGAGGCGCTACCATGGTTGGCGCCGAGCAAGGAAATTTTGAAAATTTTGAGTCTCTAGATCGTTGGAAATAGCATTTTCAGAGTCTTCTTTTTTGCTATTTGTGATTATAGAAATCAGAACTCTAGACATGGTATTTAAGTTCAAAAACTTTTATGACCCACCTTTCTCTGTGTTAAAACTTTTTCGACCCCCCCTATTTATAAGGGTAAAACTTCGTTTGCCCCCCCCCCTCCCATTTCCCAACCCCCCCTCCCCATAGATAATGACCACTCCCTAATGCAATTTTTGGTGTTACTGTGATTTCTGCATGCATACTTGTTGCTTCTGGTGACTGATTGTCTTCAAAGACAGAAGTCACAGTCTCACAGATGGTACGTATACATTCTTTCTCAGATGCGGCTGCTTTGGTTGGTTAGGTAGTGGTGGATGCACATAGTCACTTGGCTGGGGATGATATTGCTACATAGACGACTGAACTATTTTGCCTTCCAATGTCCATCTTGCCTTCCCATTATAATCCAATACCATCTTCCCATTTTTGGGTTAACTCAGCATTTTTTAAAGGAATCTATACATAGTGCATGTAAATCATAATTATTAAAACTAGTCTATTAATTTGCTCAAAATGGGGTCAGGCCGGGGTCATTGTAGTGACCGGTTAATCTTATATTAACTAAGAAACTAGACATACCGTCTTGTTCAGTTGTCGAAGACATATATTCAAATTATACAAACCCTACCTATATATGTATACGTATGCTAATTATAATATTCAATCATGCATGCAAGTATAATAGTTCATTTACTACAATCCTCCTCTTTCCAGTTCTTTAAATATTGCTAAATCAATTGGTTTTCCTTATTTCTAATTGCTACAAATGTTAAAGTCTGTACTTATATTACCTACTTTATAATTTACGATATAATATTGTTCAGTCATTATGACCCATTTCCACTGTTTGACCCTATAAAATCTTTACAAACTGTGTATATGACCTCCCCCCCCCCCTGCCCCTCAAACAAGAAAATTCTGCTTGGGCAGCTATGCGGATTAAACCAGCATTATTTCACGTAACTATTTTTTATAGAACCGTACAGTATACAAAATGTGGCACCATGACATATAGCCTGGCATTTAGCAGTCAAGATAAAATGCTGTTCTTCAATAAAACCACCCTCTCTTCAATTGGATCTTTGAAATGGTATTTCCTGTGTTGTGGAGGTACCTGGAGAAAAATTTGTCTAAATAATTGTAAAAATAGTCTAAATAATTGTAAATAACTTTGTAATAAGGAAATTCAAAAATAGTAAGCAGGAAATATGTTAGCTGCGCAAAAGGTTTTGCTCATTTCCAACCTCCTCCCCAATTTTTCATTAAATTCGAACAAACCTAAACACCCCCTAGCCTGCTACCGTGCAGTTGTTAAAACGGTCAGTATAATCTGCAGACTGCAGACTGCAGAGCAAGTACAAAATGCAGAATAGGTATAAATTGCAGACTGAAATTGCAGACTTGGTATAAAATGCAGACTGTGCAAAAACGTATATTTTTTAAAATATGAAAATATGTCATACTGTCATGAAGTTCAAATTATTTACAACTTCGAGTTTTACGGTTCATTGTCGATGCATGTATAAGCTTTGTATGCTTTATATAAAAAGGTTTAGAATGATTTTCAAGATATTTTAGTGAAAATTATTGCAAAATTTAAGCACAACAAAATCATATTATAAAATAACATGTATATAACGCGTGCTCTGATTGGTCGAAACCCGTGTTTGGATCAGGCCATCCAAACACGGAAAACTATCGTGTTGTTGTTATTTTATAAAACAATTACTTTATGGTTTCCGTGTTTGGATGGCCTGATCCAATCACGCGGGAATGTTGCGAGAGTTGAGAAAAGCGCGCGAACACGAGCCGAAGGCGAGTGATTTTGAGCGCTTTTCTTAACTCGAGCAACATTCCCAAGTGTTTGGATCAGGCCATCCAAACAAGGAAACCATAAAGTAATTGTTTTATAAAATAACAACAAAGTTTAAAATTCCCGCGAAGGCACTTTAAATTTCCGTGTTTGGATGGCCTAATTTGTTTCTTTTAGTTTGTGTATCTAGCTCATTTTAGTTCAATATTCTTCTCTACTCTTTAGGTATTAAATACGGTTTAAAATGTCTTAATTTTCCCTACGTTTGCTATATTTAGCAATTCCCACAACTCTCGTGACATAAAACTGGCATTTGAGTCTTAGACTATATTTTGGTAAGTCGCATAATTTTGAAAACGGGTGTAATGTGTAGTTTTATACGTTCTTTCACAGTCTGCATTTTATACCTATTCTGCATTTTGTACTGCAGTCTGCAGATTATACTGACCAGTTGTTAAAATTAGCCATTTCCCAATCGAGCAGAGGACTGGGTCTAGTTGCTGTTTGGAGAGGCGTTTGGAGGGACAAGAACAGCTGGGCATTCTGTTGTCGCTGTCTAAATATTGCGGGCGCATTTCTTTAACAAACATTTTGATTCTTCGAACGCTGAAAATATGCATTGTCAGAGGATTTTTTGTCCTCTTTTACTGGTTTGTTCATGGAAAATAAAGTGTTTCTTGAAAGATTAAGTTGTAGTGCTTGTACGCAACGATATAACGACTTAATCGCATGAAAACGTGCGAAGAATTTTTATTTACAAATGGGCGACAAGTGGAAATGTTTCACTCATTGTCAGAGTTTCAGAAGCAGGGTACAGCAGTATGGAAACAAGGAAGTGTTCATATTTTGCTCTTGATAGAAGCTGAGTTGTTGTTGTTTCCACAGGTATGTTCAATAATTTGTTTGTCCTTCCTCATCTTGAATAATAAGTGTCTTAAAATACATATTTTGATGAAAATGACACATATTCCTCTTGCAATTTCGTAGAAACTGGCCGTTGCCTTCAGTTAGAAAATATATTTTATGAAAGTTAAATCATACTTTGTTTTATTAAAACCTGAGCTATTCATGGGAAAAATGTGCTAGATGTTGTAATTGACAAATCCACTTGTGAAGTGAAAATGTCATGTTGTCACATGCTTATGAAATTGCTCCTGTATTGGTTTGTTATAAAGTAAAAATTGCTGCAAAAATGCTTTTGAAAATGTTCAAGTATTGGTTGTTATGAGATAGGAAATGCCGCATTGATTTGTTCAGTTTTAAGAGTCTAACGGCAATCCTGAATATAGGCATGCTTGCTTTGTGAAATTCTGTGGTGATATGGCATATCAATAAAAATATCTTAAAATTTTTACCATTGCCTCTTTCCGAAATATGGCTTAAAACTATCCTTATTAGTCAACCTTCATGGAAAAGTTAGTGGGTATGCTGGGAAAAATGCGCGCGGCACTTTTTTTGGACACTGAAGATGGTAACATTTGATGTTGTCATATATTGCCATCCTCTTATCATAGCATAGCTTAACTTATTTTAGTGAGTTTGTTAAAGCATTGTGCTCACTATATGCCTGTAGTATCTAAGACTTTTTCATAGCATTATATGACAAATTTAAGTTCTGTTTTCTTTTATTTTTAGGTGATAGTATCTGTTCACTTGAGTGTTGGTATCAAATTTTGGACAAGTTTCAATTATTATTTCACATTCCTTTATTCAAATATCCAAATAAATGGAATATGACATCAAGCTGGAGGACTAGATCCTGTTTTCAAACTTGTTTTTTGTAAAAATAGAAAATAACAACTTATTCTGTGTTGTTCTAATAAAAACTATTGTTTTTGATATGCATATATTTTAATTTTATTCTTTGTTAAAATGTGTACCTTGAATACTGAAATCTTATAAAATGTATATATATTTATACATATATATATATATATATATATATATCAGTCATTACGATATGGCATTTATAATTTTTTTTAATATATGTTAATCACCGTAGGAAAGTATTTTTTTAGTGAACAGGAAAAGTTGGGACTAAGTCGGATTCGAACCGGCGACCTCTGGGTTACAAGCCCATCGCTCTACCAACTGAGCTATCAGCCCGATGGTATATTCAAACCCAACCAGTCACAACCATCCCTGCACACCCACATGGCCACTCACCAAAGCCATGCCGATTTTGCTGATACCATTTCGACAGTAACATGTCTTCTTCAGCCGTATATATATATATATATATATATATATATATATATATATATATATATATATATATATATATATATATATATATATATATATATATATATATAGATATATAGATAGATAGATATATATATATAGATATAGATATATATATATATATATATAGAGAGAGAGAGAGAGAGAGGCGGGAAATTTGTCGTCCCTGACCAAAAAATTGCGGGCAGAAACAAAGCTCATTGCATTTACATTCAAAACAAAGCAGAAAGTTAGCAAGAAGCTGTTTTAGCTGACGATTTTTTGCTTTCCATTCAACGATTTACAAATTATTGGTTATTCTTTTAAAAGTCGATCATGAATTCTTTGTTTTGGGATGATTGTTTTGTAATCGCGTGATTGGAAAAAGTTAATATGGCGACGTGAACATGGGAGTAAACAC